AGAAGATTGAAATCATATCAAGCATCTTCTCAGATCACAATGGCATGCAACTAGAAATCAATTGCAACAAGAACATGCAAATACATTTGAAAATATGGAGGCTAAATAGCATGTTATTGAACAATGAATGGGTTACCATAGAGATCAAGAAAGCAATTAAAAACTTCTTGAAAACCAATGAAAATGAACACAAAACAACAACACAATATCTATGGGATGCAGCAAAAGCAGTTCTGAGAGGGATGTTCATAGCACTATAGGCCTACCTCTAGAAGCAAGAAAATTTTCTAATAGACTATCTCACCTCACAATGTAAAGGAGTAGAAAGCAATCAAAAATAAAACCTCAGAGCCAATAGAAGAAAAGAAATAGTAAAGATCAGAGCAGAAATAAATGACATGGATACCAAAAAAACCATTCAAAGGATCACTGAAACAAAGAGCTGGTTATTTGAAAAGATAAACAAGATTGATGGACTCTTAGCTAGACTCACTAAGAAACAGAGAGAGAGAACCAAATACACAAAATCAGAAATGAAAGAGGAGAAATAATAACTAACACCACAGAAATACAAAGGATTTTTAACAAATATTATGAACAATTATAAGGTAACAAATTCGACAGTCTAAGCGAAATGGACAAATTTCTAGAAACGCATAGTTTCCCAAAACTGAACCTGGAAGAGATAGAAACTTGATCAGACCAATAGCAGCAGAAGAAATTGAAGATGTAATCAAGACTCTCACAATAAACAAAAGCACAGGTCTGGACGGCTCCACGGGGGAATTTTACTGAACATTCAAATAAGAACTAATACCCATTCTCCTCAAACTATTTCAAAAAATTCAAGAAGGGAGACTTCCAAACTCGTTTTATGAGGCCAGAATAATTCTAATTCCAAGACCTGAAAATGACACTACAAAGAAAGAAAACTATAGGCCAATATCTCTGATGAACATAGATGCCAAAATCCTGAACAAAATATTAGCAAATTGAATCTAGCAATAAATAAATAAAAAAATTATTTACCTTGACTAAGTGGGATTCATTTCAGGAATGCAAGGCTGGTACAATATTCACAAATCAATAAATGTGATACGCCACATAAACAAAATGAAAGATAAAAATTATATGATCACATCAATAGACACTGAAAAAGTATTTGACAAAATCCAGCACCCATTTCTGATAAAAACGATCAGCAATCTGAGAATAGAGGTATCATATCTCAACAAAATAAAGGTTAGATATGAAAGACCTACAGCCAACATCATTCTCAATGGGCAAAAATTAAAAGCATTTTCCTTAAGAACAGGGACAGGACAAGGATGGCCACGTTCGCCCTCTTATTTAATATAGTACTGGAACTCTTAGCTACAGCAATCAGACAGGAGGAAGTGAAACTGTCATTATTCGCAGATGAGATGATACTATACACAGAAAACCCCAAAGACTCCATCAAAAATTTACTAGACTTAATAAATGAATTTAGCAAAGTAGCAGGATACAAAATTAACATCAAGAAATCCATGGTATTCTTATACACCAATGATGAACTCATAGAAAGAGAAACAAACAGACAAATAAACAAAAATCCCATTTACCATCACAGCAAAAAAATGAAGATACCTAGGAATAAACTTAACCAAAGAAATAAAGGACCTATTTTCAGAAAACTGAGGGTCTTTGAAAAAAGAAATAGAGTTATAGAAAAAATAAAGTCATAGTCATAAAAAAAAGTGGAAGCTCATACCTTGTTCATGGATTGGAATAATTAACATCATTAAAATGTCCATACTACCCAAAGCAATCTATAAATTCAATGCAATCCCCATCAAAATACCAATGACATACATGACAGAACTAGAAGATCTACTTCAGAAGTTCATGTGGAACCAAAAAAGACCTAGAATAACCACAGCAATCTTGAAAAAGAAGAACAAAGTAGGAAGGATTACATTACCAGATTTCAGGTTATACTACAAAGCCACTGTACTCAAAACAGCCTGGTACTGACATAAGAACAGCCATATAGACCAGTGGAACAGAACAGAGAACCCAGAAATGGACCCAAGGCAATATGCTCAATTAATATTTGACAAAGGTGGCAAGAGCATAGAGTGGAGTAAAGACAGCTTCTTTAATAAATGGTATTGGGAAAATTGGACAGCTACATGCAAAAAAATGAAACTAGACCATCAACTTACACCATACCCAAGAATAAACTAAAAATGGATAAAAGACTTACATGTGACCCATGAATCCATAAAAATTCTAGAAGAAAATGCAGGCATCAAAATTTTGGACATCATACGCAGCAGAATTTTTACTGATACCTCAACTAAGACAGTAGAAACGAAGGAGAAAATGAACACGTGACTACATCAAACTCAAAAGCTTCTGCAAAGTGAAAGATACAACCATCAAAATGGAAAGGCAACCCACTGTGTGGGAGAGCATAATTGCCAATGATATATCAGATAAGGGGTTAATTTCCAATATAGAGAGAGTTCTCATGCAACTCAACAAAGGAAAACAAAAAACCCAATTAAAAAATGGGCAGAGGAACTAAATAGATACCTCTCCAAACAGGACATACGAATTACTAAGAGACATATGAAGAAATGCTCAACATCACTAATCATCAGAGAGATGCAAATTAAAACAACAATGAGGTATTATGTCACACCTGTCAGAATGGCTGTCATTAACAAATCATCAAACAATAAGTTTTGACGAGGTTGTGGAGAAAAGGGGACTCTACTACACTACTGGTGGAAATGCAGACTGGTACAGCCACTATGGAGAACAATATGCTGTTACCTCAAAAAATTAAAAATTGAACTTCCATTTGACCCAGTGATCCCACTTCTAGGAATATACCCTAAGAAGCCTGAAACACCAATCAGAAAGAATATATTTATCCCCATGTTCATAGCAGCACTATTTGTAATAGCTAAGATCTGGAAACAGCCCAAGTGTCCATCAGTAGATGAATGGATAAAAAAGCAGTGGTATATATACACAATGGAGTACTATGCTGCTGTAAGAAAGAAAGATCTCTTATCCTTTGAGATGACATGGATGGACCTGGAAAGTATTATCCTAAGTGAAACAAACCAAGCAGAAAAAGACAAGTATCATATAATCTCACTTATTTGTGGAATATAATGAACATAGCAGTCTGAGGAATGGGGTAGTCCCAGAGATGTGGAAGTGGGGTACAGACTGACAATCCCCAGATGAGGGGGTTGGTGGGGGAGAGATAAACCACAGAACTTATATGCACAGAAAATGGACATGTACAACAAAGCTGGGGACATGGCCGTGAACGAGGAGTAGGGGGGGAATCAGTGAGGGAGAAAGAAGAAACATCTGTAACAAAAATAAATTAAATAATTAATAAAAAATATATGTATTTTTGTCTTTATTGGTAAAGTATACAGATGCCTCTCCTTTCTCCCCCAATAACACCCTCTTCTCCGCTCCCACCTGCCTGCCTTCACCACACTGATGACTGTGTCCATTGGTTATGTATATATGCATATCAGTTCTTTTGTTTATCTCTTCCCTCCCTCCCAACCCTGTTCCCTCTGAGGTATGATGGTCTGTTTCCTACATCCATATCTCTGGCTTTACTTGTTTGTCAGCTTTTGTTCATTATAATCTACCAATAAGTGAGATCATGTGATACTTCTCTTTCTCTGACAGACTTATTTCCCTTAGCATAATACTTTCCAGGTTCCTTCATGTCATCTCAAAGGGTAACAGGTCTTTTTAACACTTGCATAGTATTCCAATATGTAAATGTACAGCTTTTTTGTCCACTCATTTACTGATGGAAACTTGGAGTATTTCCAGATTCTCAGCTATTATAAATAGTGCTGCTATGAACACAGGGGTGCAGAAAATATTTTTAATTGGTGTTTCAGGATTCTTAGGATATATTCCTAGAAGTAGGATCACTAGATCAAATGGCAGTTACATTATTAATTTTTTGAGAAAACACCATATTGTTTTTCCATAGTGCCTGCACCAGTCTGTATTCCCACCAGCAATGTACTAGAATACCCTTTTCTCTACATCCTCAACAGCACTTATTGTTTGATGATTTGTTGATGGTAGCCATTCTGGCAGGTGTGAAGTGTATAGTCATTTTAATTTGCATCTGTCTCATGATTAGTGATGTTGAGCATTTTTTCATATGTCTCATGGCCATTTGTATGTCCTGTTTGGAAAAGTGTCTATTCAGGTCATCTGCCCATTTTAAAAATTGGATTATTTGTCTTCCTTTTGTTGAGTTGTATTAGTACTTTATATATTTTGGAAATTAATTCATCTGAAGTATCAGTGGCAAATATGTTTACTCATACAGTGGGTTCCCTTTTCATTTTGATACTGATTATTTTTGCTGTGTAAAAGCTTTTTAATTTAGTTTAATGTAGTCCCAGTTATTAATTTTTTCTTTTGTCTCTCTTGCCCTGGGCAATGTATTGGTAAAAATGCTGCTTTGTGCGATGTCTGCAGTTATGCTGCCTATATTTTCTTCTAATATTTTTGTGGTTCACAAGTTACATTTAAGTCTTTTATTTATTTTGAGTTTATTCTTGTACATGGTGTAAGTTGGTGGTTTAGTTTCATTTTTTACATGTCCAATTTTCCCAACACCATTTATTGAAGAGACTGTCTTTACTCCATTGTACATTGTTGCCTCCTTCATCAAATGCTAATTGAGCACAATGGCTTGGGTTAATTTCTGTGATCTTCGTTCTGTTCCATTGATCTATAAGCTTGTTCTTGTGGCAGTATCAGGCTGTTTTGATTACAGTGATTTTGTACTGTAATTTGATATCCAGGATTGTGATTCTTTCTACTTTGTTTTTCTTTCTCAAGATCACTGCAGCAATTTGGGGTCTTTTGCAGGATCCATATAAATTGTGGGACTATGTTTTCAAGATCTGTGAAATATGCCATTGGTATTTTATTTCATTATTTTTCTTCAGGGGAGAGCACGAATGCCGTCCCTCGTTATCATAACTTATGCAGTTGAGTTTCCCACATTTGGGGAAATCACAGGGGTTAGCACATCAGGAGTGCAATGGATACGCCTCACCCTGGGAAAATCACCTTCATGTACATGGTATCTCCCCTGCCTGGTAAGTATGCTGTTGGGACTTTAATGGAATTGCATTGAGTCTATAGATTGCTTTGGGTATTATGAACATTTTAATGATGTTAATTCTTCCAATCCATGAAAATGATATATACTTCCACTTGTTTATATCTTCTTCTAAAAATTACATTTTTATTGATTTTTTTAGAGAGAGATATAGAAACATCAATGTGAGAGAGAAACATTGATTGGCTGCTTCCTGCACACCCCTACTAGGGATCAAGCCTGCTACCTGGGCATGTGGCCTGACCAGGAATCAAACCAGAACCTCTCAGTCCATGGGACAATGCTCCATCCACTGAGCCACCAACTGGGCCTCTATTTCTGTGTCCTGTAGTTTTCTGAGTATAGGCCTTTTACTTCTTTGGTTAAGTTTATCTTAGGTATCTTAATTTTTTTGTTGCAATTGTAAATGGGATTTTTTAATTTAATTTTTTATTTTCTCTTTTTGCAAGTTCATTATTGATATATAAGAATGCCGTTGATTTCTTAATGTCAATTTTGTATCCTACTATTTTGCCAAATTCATTTATTAAATCTAGTAATTTTTTGGTGGAGTTTTCTGGACTTTCTATGTACAATATCATGTCATGTGTGAATAATGACAGTTTTGCTTCCTTCTTTTCAATTTTGATGTCTTTTATTTATTTTTTCTTCTTGTCTTATCACTGTGGCTAAGATTTCCAGTACTATGTTGAATAAGAATGGTGAAAGCATACATCCTTGTCCTGTTCATTTTCTTAAGGAAAACACTTTTAATTTTTGTCCATTGAGTATGATGTTGGCTGTAGATTTGTCGTGTATGGCCTTTATTATTTTGAGATATGATCCTTATATTTTCACTTTGCTGAGAGTTTTTTTAAAAAATGGGTGCTGGATTTTGTCAAATGCTTTTTTAGCATCTATTGATATGAACATGTGATTTTTGAGAATTCTTATAACCAGTGTTTCAAACTCTTCATCTAGTAGATAGCTCGTCTCAGTTTTGTTTGGTTCTTTTTTCTGGAGTTTTTTCTGTTCTTGCATTTGGAACATGTTTCCTTGTCTCCTTAATTTGGCTACCTCCCTGTGTTTGTTTCTGTGTATTAGGAAGAACTTCCACCTGGTCTTAGTAGAGTGGCATTATGTAGTCAGTAGGGCTCTTGGGCACATTCTCTCTGGTCACCTGAGTTGGGTGCTCCAGGTGTGTCCTTGTATTTTTTTTTATTTTTTTTGGTATGTACCCCTAGCAGAACCAAACCTGGGACTCTCTGGTCTGCAGGCTGATGCTCCAACCGCTGACCCAAACTGACCAGGGACCTTGAATGTTTTTTGTGCTCTCCTGTTCTAGTTGAGCCTAGATTGCTGGTAGCATGTCAATGGGAGAGACTGACCCTCATTAGATATGAGCACTGTCCAAGACACAGTGGAGAAGCCGTTGTGCAGGGGATGACTCTATGGAGTAGGATTTACTTTAGTGGGTCTCTGGTACCTGCCAAGTCCACCCTTTTAGTTTGTGCTTTGTGGTTAGGTGGTATTCTGTTGTGGTTTGGAACTGGCCACTGGCTGTGCTGATTCTGGGGCCTCTTAGGAGGGGCTCTGGTGCAGGCCAAGGATGTGCTCTCTCTGGGGCCACTTGTTATGAGCTACAAAGTGATCTACTAATGACTTCCACCAGTGCTGGGCTTGGGGTTGCTTAGCAAGAGGTATGGGGCATGCCAAGACATGATACTGTTCGGGGTTTGTGAACCTTTGAGAGATCTTAAGAAAGTGTGCAGCATGAGTCAAGACAGGCTGTTTGTATGGAAAAGCCACTGGAAGCAGCATGGGTGGGTCCAAAAGTTGGGTGGGGTAGGGTCTCAGGAAATCACCAGGATAGGCTGAATGGTGTTAACCAGGTTAATGGAGACTATATATGGCACCATCTGTGTGTGCAGGCTGGGTGGAGGGATGGTTCAACAAAGGAACAATGGTCTCTGCCATAATTATTTCTTGAAATAGGTTTTCAATTCCTTGCTCCCTCCTCCCTCTCTGTCTGACCCTCCAGCACTCATCATGAAACCAGATGATTCAGTTCCTCCTAGTATGTCCCTGGTGCTTTTTGAGCTCCAGTGCTGGAGCTCAGAGCAAGTGAGTCTGACAGTAAGTTCATGTATGGGGCCTTTTAAAAGGAATGCTGAGGACTTTACAGCCCTCCATTTCACTGAGTCACAATCCATGTTGTTTTTCATAGTCATAAGTTATGGGACTTCCCTTCCTGGCACTGGAACCCTGGGCTGAGGAGTCTGGTCTGGGGTTGGGATCCCTCAATCATCAGGAGGGAGGGGCCTCGGCAGCCAGGATATCCTTCCTAATTTGTAACTGCCACGCATGGGTATGGAAATAGCCTGTTCCACATATTCACTCCTACTAGTCTCCAAGTAGCTTCTTCTGTATATCTTTAGTTACAGGAGTTCCGTTCAGCTAGATTTCAGGCATTTCTCACTGATGGTTGTTCTATAGTTTAGTTGTAATTTTAATATGGTTGTGAGAAGAGGTGAGTACAGCATTTACCTGCTCTGCTATCTTAACTGGAAGCTGCAGAATTATTTTCTAAACTTTTAAAGTATAAATTATTAGATTGGGGATTTGCTTGGTTTAAGGATTTAAATACTTTATTAGCTCATGATAAATCATGTCAAATGCCATCTGAAGAGTTCATAATTATACTCTCATAAAAAATGCCAAATTCTTAGGATTAAAAAATTACATTTAGACTCAAGATTTTCTTAGATTATCTGTTTCCTCTTTAATATTTAAATAACTTTTTACTCCATTTTTATGCGTATGAGAAGAATTAATATAAAGATATGTGTTTTATAATATGTTTTCAGAAATGCAGTTGTTCTGTGAAGTGAGCTATAGTTGCCCATATAGGAAGTAAAAGCAAAGAATAGATTTTCATTAACACACATTATGTCAGTTAAAAGCCTTTCAAGTTATTTTTCACGAACATAATTTGTTATTCTTATTAGTGTAAAAAAAAACTTTTATAACTGTTTTCTGTAACTTTTTTCATGTTGCTACTCTGCATCCCAAATATAATTTTCAAAGACTGCTTAATATTGCCAAAGTAGAAATATCACATGTTTTTGTCCCATTGCTGAAAGTTTATACTGTTTCTATTTCTTACTATTACGTTTGATGCTGAAATAAACATCTCCATAAATATAGACATCAATAATTTTGTATTCTTGTCTCAATATTATTTCCTAAAAGTGAGACTTTCAGGTCATAATGCATGGATATTTTTATTCTTCTTGATTTATTTTGTCAAATGACTTTCCTAGAGGAAGTTAGCATCATCATAGTTAAAAGCACAGAACTTGGAATCAGACAGCCTAGATTTAAATCCTGTTTCACCAACTCTCTGGCTGTGTGACCTTAGGCAAGTTAATTACCCTTACCTTAGTTTCCTTGGCTGTGTGATATATAGATTTGCAAGAATGTAGTGGATTGGTACATAGAGCTTATAAAATTTTTAGCCCGACACCAGTAATATGTGAAAATATTAATTTCATGGACTTTTTACCAAACTGGATTGTATTAGAAAAACTTGTTTTTTAAATGAATGAAAAATGATCCACTTTTAAATTTATATTTTAAGAAATTATTTTCCCTCATTAAGAGGTTTTCTCAAACATTTCACTTGGGGGGGAACTAAAAATAGTTAGGTCCTTGATGTTTGTAACACTGGTTTCACCTAAATAAAGGAAGATCTGTCACTTTCATGATGAAACCCTTTGGGAGCTTTTGAAGATTAGTTTCTCAGTAGGGAGTATGAAGTGCAAAGAAATGCTTGAAATCTTATTTGCAAGAAAGTTGAAAGCAAACTTTCATAACTTTTCAACCTAGTATTTGTGTAGTAATGTCCGTGGGAACTCTTGGAAGACTGGACTTTAATAAGCCTTTTATATTGAAGGAAGAAGATACAGGGATTTGTAAGAAAAGACTTGGAAACTGAGAAAATGAATAAATAAAACTAGTTTTATTTTGATTTTTATCTCTTCCCTTAAGTTCTTCTATGACTTGTGCTTCTATTGTACTAACATGTTTTGTGTGCTCCCCCCCCCCAACCAGACATTATAAATCGAAAGTTTTATGGGGGAGTGTGGAATCAGTGTTTGGTTGTGGCATTTGATAGCTAATTAGCAATGATCGGGCTAATAGAATACCAAAGGGCTTGTAGACAGATACAGGGAAGAATGCAGAGCATTAAAAAAAAAATCTCCTTTGGGCATCAGTAAGTAGAGAAAAGACATACTACCATTTTAAAGTGAATGTTTGGAAGATGAAAGCAGTCTATAAGGTAATTGTTATAGAAACTGAACCAAAGACCGCATCCCCCAAAGAAACAAAGCAAGCAAGCAAGCCAGCCAACAGTTGTCCCTCATATTATATATTCCAGATAAATGTGAGAAAGAATGAATAGGGAGTATCACAGATATATAGAATGGTGGCATTCAATTACTATTTCAAATCTTATGAAAATTTTGTCTGAAACGTTCAGATCTGTACCTTAATGAGTATATTATCAATCTGGAAAAGACTCTTATTGAGGCAGTTTGCAAAAGTTGTATATTGTTAAAGATTCTTCAAGGTGATTTCGCTGAACTTGTTTGTTGTTCAATGGAATAAGTAACAACTTTAGATATCGAAGGAAGTGTGTTTAAATTTCCTGAGTCAAATGGACAATTAACTCTGTTTAAAAGGGGAAGAAGACTGAAGAAGTTTCAGCTGCTTCAGCCAAGATGTCTACAGACTTAGTTCTTTCTTTTTGCTCTTCTGTCACATAGGAGAAAGAGCAGGAGTTGCTAGGAGCTGGGTGCCAGTGTCTCTGAAGACCTAGTAAAGATGCTGAGACTGAGAGAATGAAGAGTTGATATGGCTGCTTAAAGTTGAGGAACAAGTTAGGAATCAGAGCAGGAAAGGCACATATTTGGGAGGAAGTTTATCTTAAAGGCTGCAGCAGA